GAAATTTTGCCTTCGTGATGCACTTTTTCGTGGAACTAACTCGCATTTGCGTTACACGGAGAGGAAAACAATGAAAACCTCCTAAGGTTAGCCTTACGGCAAGGGGACTCTAACCCATAATCCGTCTACCAATGAGGATATTTTTATGTCATCACCGTGGTCGGAGCAAGCCGAATGCGGAATTCGTATCGATTGGCTATTGCTGGGATTTGAACCCGGCTCACCTCATTGGAAGGCGAACGCTCAATCCCCTGAGCCATCACGGCTCTATTTCTGATAATTATAATTGCATAATTTATGGATTGTAAAGACATTTAAAGTACTACTACTAAAAACAGGTATTTAAAGGGAAACAAATCACCAAAGTCGCCCTAACACCACAATGTTATGTTTAACAAAGTAAAATTTTTTTTGTTGTTTAAATCGTTTATTCTAGTTTAGTGAGGTGAAATTACAAAGCCTTGGTGTTAGAACTATAAAATTTAACACAAATTCATTAATAATCAAATCACATAAGCTTTACTTTATTCATATATTTATTTAAAACTTAACGAACTTAGTTCACTCACTAGTAAAAATAAGAACTATTTGGGTCGCTTAGAATGGGCAATTAACCACTGTAATGTAATATCGATATTTTCACGATATTTACAAGATACCATGAAACAAGAAACTTCTCGATTTTCGATGCTTTTTAAATTAAGATGGTCTATAAGCTCAGCCTGACTGAAAGCATTAGGCAAATCGGTTTTGTTGCCCAAGATCAAAATAGGAACGCAAGTCAGCTGAGGCTTTCGCAGCAATTCGTGAAGTTCATGCCTGGCTTCGAAAATTTTTTCGCCATCAGCTGCATCCACCATGAAGAGTATTGCATTCACACCACGGCAGTATCTTTCCCACATTCCACGAAATCTCCTCTCTCCACCAAGATCCCAAACTTTGATTGAGGTATTACCACACCTTATCTTTCTCATGTTGAATCCCACAGTTGGAATGGTATTAGTGCAGTCGATTTTGGAGATTAGGTTCACATACGTTGTCTTGCCAGCTTTGTGCAAACCAACTACGGAAACTTCCATTTCAGTTTGCCAAAAAAGGCCTATCAGCCATTCCCACAATCGCCAGATAA